GGACTAAAACCAAGGACTGTAAACTTCATTCAAGAAAAGCTTGGAAAAACTTTAGTAGTCCTAATCCACAACATATAGAGTCTTCCCAGTATTCTGAAAAATTTACAACCAGGAGAAGATAAAATAGATGAATGGGACCTTCTAAGAATCAAATCCCTATGCGCATCCAGAAACTTCTCTAACAGGGTAAAAAGGGAAGCCACAGACTGGGAAAAAGTTTTTGGTAATGACATGTCAGACAAGGGACTTATATCTACAATTTATAAAATACTCGAGCACCACAACAAGATAAAGGAGAATAATCCAATTGAAAAATGGGCATAGGATATGAACAGACACTTCACCAAGGAAGACATTCAGATGGCCAACAAACACATGAAGAAATGTTCAAAATCCCTAGCCCTGAGAGAGATGCAAATCAAGACAACCATGAGATATCATCTCACTCCAGTAAGACTAGCAAAATTTAACAGAACAGCAAGCAACAAATGCTGGCGAGGTTGTGGAGAGACTGGAACCCTTATTCACTGTTGGTGGGAGTGTAAAATGGTGCAACCACTGTGGAAAGCATTGTGGCGCTTTCTCAAAAAGTTGCAAATAAAGATACCATTTGACCCAGCAATTCCACTACTGGGAATATACCCTAAAGAGACCATAAATGACATCCAAGTAGATATATGTATACCCATGTTTATCGCGGCTTTGTTTACAATAGCAAGGAGTTGGAAACAACCTAAATGCCCATCAAAAACGAATGGGTAGAGAAGCTGTGATATATTCGCACAATGGAATACCATGCTGCATTAAAAAACAAGGAACTCATGCAATATTATTCAAAATGGGTGACCCTGGAGGACATTATGCTGAGTGAGGTATCTCAGTCACAAAGGGACAAATGCTATATGGTGCCACTGTTGTAGAATGAGGCTGGCATTGGGGTGGGGGTAAGACTGAGAAAAACTGGATGAAATATGTTTACGGCATTGAAGTCTATGGGGGAGAGAATAGTCTAAAAGTATTATATTTTAGGGCATTATTTTTATCGTAGGAGTATGCAATGAGGGTTGCAGAGTGGATTATATTTGGGGGTAGAGGGTGCGGTTTGGGGAGTTGTGGGGGGGGATTGTGTACCAATGAGGGAGTTTTTCTTTTGCTTTTCAGGGAGAGGAGCAAATGAGGGGGAGGGGGGAGGGGTTTGTGAGGGGAGAAGGGTGCAACAATGAATGAATGGAATTCCAAAATCTCTGTAGATGTTCATTGAAATGAAAAATAAACAACCTAAATTTTAAAAAAAAACAACAACCCAATAGCCCTATGCCCACCCATGTTTATCGCAGCTTTGTTCACAATAGCAAAGAGTTGGAAACAACCTAACTGCCCATCAACAAATGAACGGATAGAGAAGCTGTGGTATATTTGCACAATGGAATACTCTGTTGCATTGAAAGGCAAGGAACTCATGCAATATTATTCAAAATGGGTGACCCTGGAGGACAGTATGAAATATCTCAGTCACAAAAGGACAAATACTGCATAGTGCCACTGTTGTAAAATGGGACTGACATAGAGGTTGGGGGGAGACTGAGAAAGATGGGATAAACTATGTATAGTGCATTGAAACAGATGAGGGAGATAACTGTTTAAAAGAGATATATGATTAGATATTATTGTCATGACAGCAGTTCGAGTAGACTTGGGGGGAGGGATTGTATAATAATGAAAGAATTTTTCTTTTACTTTTTAAAGAGAAGAGCAAACGGAGGGAAGCAGGGGTGGTCAGGGAGAAAAGTGTAGCAATGAATGAATGGAAATCCAAAGTCTCTGTAAACTTTCATTAAAATTAATTTTTAAAAAACAAATCAACAGCCTCTTGATGCTTGCTGCCACGTGGATGAACACTGAGTGGCACAGACAGCTTAGTACTCGGTTACCAATGGGAAGGTTGGTGGTTCAAACCCACTGAGAGATGACTCCGAAAAAAAAGACCTGGTTATCTATCTCCAAAACTATCCCAGCCTTGGAGACTACAGAGAAGCAGGCAGCAGGTGCTGTGAATCAGAGTCAACTCCAACACAACCACTGGCAATTCACAAAAACCTCTGGTAACAGGGGAGCTCTGGTGGCCTAGTGGCAAGAAGCTGCAACTACAATCCCAGAGGTGCACGGTTCAAATCCACCAGATGCTCTGCCGGGGAAGGAGGGACAATCACCTCCTGTACCAGTCAGGTCTGATTAGAAGGTACACTCACACAAAAATAATAAAATAAAATAAATATTTTTTTAAAAATCTGGTAACATTTGGACGGGAGGCCACTGTTATGAAGGGTTAGGGGGTGCGGTGGTGCAGTCCCTAGGGAACAGTGCTTAACTCACAGGCTGTACTCCGCTGGGTCAAATCCAGGATTAAAAATGAAGGATTTGCAACAGTCTGAGAAAGTCGAGGAGGACAGAGGAGGACAGTGGGGACTGCGACTAGCCTCCAGTCAACAATGAGTAGACGCCAGCTGTATGTCACAAAAAAGGCAAATACTGTGTGCTCCCACTTCTGAAAGGTGTCTGGAGTACACAGAAGCCCAGGACACAGGGGGACAGTGAGAGAGCTTCTCGGAGACTCGGGAGAGGCTGGCATTCTCCGAGGACAGCCCGCAGTTCTGCCTGGAGCCAAGAACAAGCAAGAATGAATGGCGGCAGCAGTGTGACCGCCCAGTGGGTCCACAGGAAGGCGGTGCAGAGGGAGGGAACGCCCCAGGACTACCGTCAGAACCCGACTTTGGAAGAGCTGTCCTTTCCATGTGCCATCATTCCTGGCACCATGGGCCACCTCAGGGTCAGATTCAAAACTTCTAGTGCCAGTCCACTCCAGCTCACTACAATTCATTGAAACAAGTATCAGTGCTGTGGTTGTGTGCTGTCAAGTCAGAACTGACTCGAAGTTGACCCTCCAGCAGGTTTTCAGAGGCAGCAAATTAATGGGAAGATATTGTCCATCCTTTTCCCACGGAGCATCTGGTGGATTTGAACCTCGTGCCTTTGGGGTTGGAGCACAGCTTCTTACCACTAGGCCTCCAGAGTGACTGTGGACTCAAATGTGTTGAGGATGATTAAGGATGTCACAGGATAGGGCAGAGGTCTGATCTATTGCTCATGGGCTTGCTATGAATCGCACTGGACTTGAAAGCACTTAACAACAATTATCCATGAGATACTGAAAATCGTCTGAAGCAAAAACGCAAGCTGATTCTGCCTCCTGGCCACCCCGTGGGGGTCAGGACACAGCTGGGCTCAGTGAAGCCTTCTTGACCCTAACTCTGCAGATGATACTAGATCTTTCTTCCATGGAATGAGGGGTGGGTTCAGATTGCCAAACTTTGGGTTAGCACAATAATTTAAAACAAAGACAGGGCGGGGGGAACAACAACCACAAAACAAACCTCCAGACCACCTGACTGCCCTTGAGTTAATTCCTACACATGACAAGTGCTGTAAGTCTGCATCCTTCCACAGAGCAACTGGTGGGTTCGAACCTGCAATGTTTCAGTTACCAACCTGTAACCCACCACGCCACACACATCCCTGTGCCACCCAGGGCTGTGAAGTCAAGCACTGAGGACTTGTTTTTCTTTACTCCGGGGTGACGGAGACAGGGGCGTCTCTGAGGCCTCCAGTCCAGCAGCCTCTGCAGGACACCTGGTGAGCACAGACTGGCTGAGACAGCATCTCAACGGACAGGAGCTTCCATGTCACCGTGTTTCCACTTTCAAGGGATGCTCAGCTCCACCAGACAAAAAAGTTCAAAAGACAATTGGGCGGGTGAGAGGCAGAGCAGCTCTGCGGACCCAGCTGGGAGAGAGGACAGATTTCCAGGAAGCCACACCGTCTTCACAGAACAGAGTGACCTCACTCAGCTATGCACATGCGGAGAGAATCAGGCCTCATGTCTGCCTGAGCCTGAGGCTCCATACAGCGCCTTCCCGCCTTAAACCTGCGGGTGGTTTTGCACCAGACACAGACGGGTGAGCTGAGAGGACTCAGGTCCCAGGATCTCCTCTCATTTCCCCCCAAACACCAGCGCCACCTAATACAGGTGCTTCCAATTTAGGAGAAGCTCTTATGGCCTAAGCGTAAGAGGTGTGCTGCCAACCCACAGGCAGGTGGTTTGAATCCACCAGGAATGGGCTGTCTCCTCCTGTGTGATTTCCAGCCTCTGAAAACTGGGTGGAGAGTCAGCGGTGAGCTGGTTCTGAGTGCCCAGCGATGAGTGACCCATGACCGGCGTCCACCACACGGTCCTTAAATCTTCAGTCCTCAAACTCCTGACCCCCGGGAAGCGGCCCGTGCTTTCCAAGCGACTCTTGTCCCCTTTGATTGTCAAGTCGGAACCCAGACACTAAATCTGCTGTAAGTCCAGCAAAGGGAAGAAGAAAGACCTGCAAACTGCTCGCAAAAATCAACGGAGATAGCGGGGTGGACCGCAGTGCTCTCACCCCTGGTGCACGGACTCACCCCTGGCCGGCTCCACGGTGAGTGACAAGAACCCTGTATTGTTGTCGTCACAGTACGATACACATCTCACTGTCTAGCTCTCCCCTTCTCGCCTGCTCCCCACCACAGAACAGACTCTCAGGGGTCCAGTTCTTCCGTCTTTGTTCAGCTTAAACTCCTCTCTCCGCCCCCAGAAAGCCTCCAGGAGACTAGATGGAGCATTGTAAGAAAGAGGTGAGAGGGGCAGCCGGCCTCCACCCAGCTCCCCCAGCCTTGCTGCTCCCGTGCCCCACAGCACCATGTGCTCAGCCCCCAAGTACCCAGCCTGCCTGCCACCTGGATCCCATGCATTTTAAAGAAAGATTAACCTGGCTGTTTGCTTTTCATTCCAAAGCTGTGTTAATACTCAACTCCCTCTAGATTAGACGAGGAAAGGAAACACGCCCACAGGCACAGCAAGGCTGCAATTCCCAAGAGTTCTCAGCCCCGGGCACCCCACGTCCCATGGTGGCACTTACCACGTCAGGAAGGCCAGGAGGGCCACAGCAAGGGTCACGGTCACCATGGACGTGCTCCCCACCCCCTGCAGAAAACCCCAGGCCTCCATGGTCCTGCAGACCAGAGAGCGAGCTGGCAAGGAGAGGCCCAGCACAGTCCCGGGGACCTGGAGCTGTGGGTGGAGGAAGAAGCAGGCAGCCCAGAAAATATCACAGCCGGTGGGTTCCCAAATTGGGCTCTTCCTTGGGCAACGCCTTATAAAGAGGAAGGAAGTGGAGGGAAAACAAAGCCTGCTGTGTGGGGCAATGAATCAGCGACTTTATTTTCTTGGTGGCTATTGGGTCAATAAACATTTATGTTAAGTCCCCTGGGAGGGCAGCAGCGAGACTGACCCCATGTTGGCTGAGGGACGACATGGCTGTCGCCGTAGGCTTCTGAGGATGAACAGACCTCACAACAGACCCCTCCCCTCGACCACAGCTGAACAAGCCTTCATTTAACTAAAGGAAGGTGTGGGTCTGGAGGTGGAATGTTCTGGAAAGTCTTCAACCTGGTGGGAATAACAGCCATGTTGAGGGCAGCGGTCACACAGCAGTCACTGGGGCCTGGGATCCGGTGGCACCCTGTGGTGACAGGCTCCGCATGGCCACTTGGTGGAACAGACGACAATCGGGGCTTTCCACACAAGCTGGAGGGGTTTGGAATGTCTGAGCAGCCCAGGCGCACGTGTGGGTCTTGTTTACTCATTGTTGTTTTAGGTACTGACCAGTCTTAATCCATAGCTGACCCTCCAGCAGGTTCTCAGCGTGGGGAGTCAGCGTTTATTGTTCAAAATGACTTTACTAGGTGCTGATTAACGTTTTATTTTGTGATGAGTATTTTTACTGCATTGAGGAGATAGGATTAGGGTGGAATACAAGCCCCGCCCTTGTAAGGGCCTTTATAAGCTCGTAGAAGATCAATGTCCATCTCTTTTGAGACACAGCATCCAGCTGGGCCATAACTGACCTTCTGCAGGATCGTGACCCCTGGCTTACGGGTCTCTGCAGCACCGGCCTGCGTCCCCCACAGTCACGTGGGCCATTCCCCTGGTAGGTTCCATTTTTGTGAGACCATCCAGGAGCCAAAAGACCTAAGGGTCATAGAGGAGAGAGGGGGACTGACCAGAGGAGGAGCCGTGGGGTGGTGCAGCAGATCAAGCATTTGGGACATTGTTGACTTCCGCCTTTTACTATTATTGTGTACTGTCTGGCTGGAGTCCACCCATAGCTGACCCTGCAGCGGGCTGGTTTCCAGGAACAGTTTAATCACATGGGAAGAGATTGTCCATCTTTCTCCTACAGAGCAGCTGGTGGGTTTGAACTCCTTGCCTTTGGCTTGGCAGCACAATTCCTTAGCACCAAGCCAGTTTGCTACAAATCTTAGCAGAACTGATTGTAAATGCACAGAGGCAGTAAATCACATGGAAGGAGACTGTCTATCTTTCATGGGGTAGCTGGTGGATTCGATCCACATACCATCAGGTTGGCAGTGCAGTTCCTTACTACTAAGCCACCAGAGTTCCCTATCTACTAATTAGTTGGCAGTTTTCTTCGGAGCAGTGTTTCACCTGAGAGTCGTGCAGGGTGTGTCAGAGCAGGTGCCACTCTCTGGGTCACCCACCAGCCGCTCCTTTACCACAGGGCCCTGTGCCAAGCCCTGGCAGGCAGCTTGCATGGCTGTGGTCCCTGACTGGAGGAGAGAGAGACAGGCTGGCAATTGAGCCAGCAGGTGTGTGCTGAGAAGGTGCTGTTAGAGTCCAGCAGCAGACAGGCCCGTTTCCGTGTCACAGAGGCAGCTCTGAGTTCAGGTAAGGAAAGAGCAGCAACGGAGGAGAGACCCCCACAGTGGGGCAAGCAGAGAATGGCCCAGGCGCAGGAGGCAGGCAGAGAGAGGGCAGAGGGAGGGGAGGAGACGGAACTGAACAGTATTTCCAGACTAAATGCTATGGGCTTTGCTGTCTGGGAAGGACAGGATGTGGGTGGAAACCTAGGGGGTCAGCTTGGGTCCTGCTAGCCATCTGAGTGAGGTGTCAACAGGATCTTAAATAGAAAAGAAACCAAAGCCAGAGCCACCCCATCCATCCCCACCCGCAGCGGCCTCCATGAGACAGGGTGGAACCATCCCCACCCCCAGCGGCCCCCACAGAACAGGACAGAACCATCCCAACCCCCAGCGGCCCCCACAGAACAGGACAGAACCATCCCAACCCCCAACAGCCTCCGTGAGACAGGGTGGAACCATTCCCACTCCCAGAAGCCCCCACAGAACAGGACAAGCTATCCCCACCCCCCCAGCAGCCCAGGGCAGAACTCCAAGGTCCTCATCTTTATGGAAACAGACTGCCACATCTTTCTCCTGCAGAGAAGTTCTTAGATTCAAACCACCGACCTTTTAAGGGGGGGGGGGGGCTGGGAGGTTAAAATTTATTTTTATTTTATATTGGTTTGCCTATAAAATTTGCATACATTGTGTTTCATCTAAATACACTGAGTTTCACATATTCCTTGATTCACATTGTGTTTTATATGATCATTGCCATACATTGAGTTTGTTCTTTTTTTAAAAAAATAAATTTTTCTTTTACACTGATTTGCTTACAAAATTTGTATATATTGTTTTTCACACTGTATCTTCTTCATTTCATTAACACACCCCTTCCTCTACCCAACAAATTGTGTGACACTGTGATTACCATTCCTGACCCTCCTTTTCTCTTCCCCTCCCCCACTTGGATCTGCATATCTTTACTTATCTTTCTATTTCTATAATAATGGTCTTATACAGTATTTGTCCTTATGGGACTGAGCTAGTTCACTTAGCATAATGCTCTCCAGTCTCTCCCAAGTTAGGTAGTGATTTACAAAATTATTGCTCTTACATGCGGTGTAGTATTCCATCACGTGATTGTACTGCAATTTTTCAATCCATTCTATTGTGGTTGGACATTTGGGCTGTTTCCATGATCTTGTGATGATGAATAATGCTGCTGTGAACATTGGTGTACAAATCTCCATTTGTGTCTCAGTTCTAATTTCTCAGGGTATATTCCAAGCAGTGGAATAGCTGAGTCATGTGGAATTTCTATGTTTAGCTTTTTGAGGAAATGCCAAGCTGCCTTCCAGAGTGGTTGTACCATTTTACAATTTCGCCAACAGTATAGAAGAGTTCCTATCTCTCCAAATCCTCTCCAACATTTATTTATTACTTGTGGTCCTGTTACTGGAATGAGATGATCTCTTGGGCACTGCTCTTTTTATAGCATCCTGGTGAGATTAGGCCACACCCTTCTCCATTGTGACCTCAGGTGAGCTGATAATATCTGCAAACAGGATCCCATTCATAAGAGCACGATGTGTGTGTGTGTGTGTGTGTGTGTCTCACAGGTGAACCCATTGCAGCTGTGCTATGAATCACTTCCTTGTTCTCCGTGGTGGGAATTCTAAATGTTTCCAACTTTTCAAAGACAAATGAGGCTTCAATGGACACCATCTGCATGAGGACCATCCAGGCAGTGGGCATCCTTGTACACTTGACCATACCCTGAGTGAGGGCCATGGACGCTGTGGTGGGCATCCTCGTTGTGTGAGGGTCATGACCACTGTGGTGGACATCCTTGTTCACTTGACTTTACCCTGTGTGAGGGTCATGACCGCTGTGGTGGACATCCTCATGCACTTGACCGTATCCTGAGTGAGGGTTAGAGTCCTTCAGTAACAAGACAACAGGCATTTTTCTATCACAACTCCGGAGGCCTGACTTCAGAAACCACCTCTGCGGCTCTGTGCTGTCCGAAGGCCCCTGGGGAAGACCTGACCCTCTCTCGTCTCCCAGCTGCTGGTGGCATCACTCCTCCCTTTGTGTCCATCACCCTCGCCACCGTTGCAGCTGGTGTGCACTCTCTGAGCTGTCACGGTGCTCCACTATGCTGGCTGTGGGCATGCTGATGTCTAATGTGGTTCCCCTTGTGAAACCTGTAGAGGTGCCAGGTGGTGTGGGTGCCCGAGGGTAAATCTAGGAGCTGCGGGCCACCAAGAGCTGGACAGTCTACTCATCACGGGGCGGGTAGTACTTCAAGACAGCCACCCTCCGGAAGCCACACCCAACACTGCCAGGTGACAGCAGGTGCCAGTGGAATTCCAGGCCAGTTCCCAGCGCCAGGATGGCCCAGTTTGGAGAACAGGCTGCTTGGTGCATGTGCTGGGCCTGACAAAGCGGCCTCTCAACCCAGAAGGCCCTGGGAATTCTTGACAGCAGCTCAGTCAAGCCCCATCCCAAACGCCAGTGAGCAAGGTGAAATGAACCTTTGTTCACCTGAACAAGTCAAACCGGACTTGAACGTGGTGTCCTGCCTCTGTCGCTGGACCCCGCCTGCCTTGTTGCTGGGTCCCCTGAGCTAGGACAGACCCCTGACGAGTCCACTCCCTCGCGTTCCTCTATGATGTCGGCTTCTTTTCATTTTTGGACTCTGTAGATTATTTTCAAGACTGGTAGATTCCCTGCAGGGTGGTTATTATTTATTTGAGGGGGAAGAATAACGCATTCTGACAGGTGTTGGAACACTCATGGATTGCCGGTGTGGCTATACAACAGGACAACCTGACAGTTTAGACGTTCCTTAAAAAGGTTATACAGAGAATAACTAGAACTCAGCCGAGACAGCCTCAGTCAATCCCAGCTCAGCGACTGTCAGGTCTCCAAGGCTGTGGATCCTAACACGAGCGAGCCTGACCCAGCAGGTCCACTCCTGGCTGTATACGCCACAGACATGAAAGCAAGGACCCAGACAGACACACAGCCAGCACTGAGTGTCACAGTGTCTCCCACTAGAGCCCAGAGGTGTGAACAACTCAAAAGTCCACCCAGAGATGACCAAGTAAGTGTGCTATGTCCACACAATGGAATACTACTTGGCCATGAGGAGAAATAAAGTCCTGGTACAAGCTTTTCTGTGGGTGAACCCTGAAATCTTGATGCAGATGAGATAAGTCTGTCATAAAAGGACAAACATACGACCCCACTGGTGTGGCATATCTAGACTACGGAAGGACATAGAGACGGAAGTAACTGGCAGGGGTCAAAAGAAGAGGATAGGAAGTTATGACTTAATGGATGTTGAGTTCCTACTTGGGGTAATGGAAACATTTTTGAGATGAATAGTGCTGATGGGTATACAATATTGTGGATGTCATCGATGTCACTATAGAAAATGACTTTTAAATTCTGTGTCAGAGGGAAGCTCTGGTGGCCTAGTGGCAAGGAGCTGCAACTATAATCCCAGAGGCGCACGGTTCGAATCCACCAGATGCTCTGGCGAGGAAGGAGGGACAATCTCCTCCTGTACCAGTCAGATCTGATTTGATGGTACACTCACACAAAAATAATAAAATAAATTCTGTGTCAGAAAGTGCCATCAGATTTTCTGACTTCAGGAAGTTCATTGATATTGTGCCACTTTTGGGGGTGACATCTTGCTTTGCGCTTGTGTGGCTTGTGAGGTGGTCTGTTCCCTTCTTGATGACGCTGTGACAGGGTTGTTCATGCCCAAGGTGATGACAGGTTCTTGATCTGAAATCACCGCTACAGATGAGGGCGTAGCAGTTATGTCTCCTGTGTTCCTCTCTGAATTTCTGAACCAAAGCAAGTGTCCATTCACGGCCTGTGAAAGTGGCCTCTTTTGTTGAATAATTATTACAGCTAAGTCAGACCAAGATGCTCCAGATTGAAGGCAGCTAGTTGACTGTCCCTGAGGAGATGTGAGGGTAAGGGAGTGGGGGGAACAGGCAGGGTAGGCACTAGCAGAGGTGTGTGCCAGGTGGTGAGAGGGAGAGGGGAGTAGGCACAAGCACAGGTGTGTGCTGGATGACTTGTGCCTGGTGGGGCTAGCTGTCCAGGTGGGGCTAGCTGTCCAGGTGGGGCTAGCTGTCCAGGTGGGCGTGGGAAGATCTCACTCAGGTTTGCAGCTGTTCCACTCATGCCTGGCTGTGGGGGGTCCTGCCTAAGTGTGGACACGCAGGGACCTCACTTAAGTTACAGATGTCCTGCTGGTGCCCAGCAAGGCTAGCTTCTAGATGGGCACTTGCCAGAACCTCACTCAGTTTGCAACTGTCCCCCTCACGCCCAGCTGGACTACCTGTCTGGGTAGGGATACTTGGGTACCTGCGCAAAAAAACTCACCAAGTGGATAGATGTCCTGTTTGTGCTTGCTGGGGCTACCTGCCCCTGTGAGGACTCACAAGGACCTCACTGTGGTTGTAGCTGTACAGCACACACCCAGCAGGGCTGGCTTCTGGGTGGTCATGTGTAAGTACCTCAATTAGGTTCCAGATGTCCTGCGGGGTCGCAGCAGCGCTGGGCTGCGGCGGAAGGGCTGGTCACTCCTCTGGGGTCACCAGAAAATTACTAAAGTAGAAAAGTCCATGTTATATTTATTTTATCACAATAACCCACAAACCAAATCTATGATTCAATTTCAACTCACGCTGACCCTGGCTAGACTTCCAGAGCTGTCAATACCTGCTGATGGAGATGGTCATCATTCCACAGGGAGCCTGGATTTGAACCACTGACCTTTCAGTTAGCAACCCAACACATCACACACTCAATCACCAGGACTCCTTTGTCATCACAGACATTTTTTAAGACACAAATCTTAAGAAGAAAGCACCCAGAATTTTACAAGAGTTGGATGT